TTAAAATTTGTTAAATAAATGAAATTATTTTATTTCTTGCCTTTCGCGACTCCGTTCAGGAGGAAATAAAAAAAAAACTTAATTAATAGCATAGTGTTCTACATCTATAGCAAATTTTAGCAACATCCATGGAGCAGTTTTGAAGATACGTTCGAACAAACATACCACCTAAACATTCGAATTTATAATATTAGTAAGACAAAAAAATGACATTGACAAAAAGTCCCAGCATACGAAAAAAATATTATGAATAAGGTTTAATAAGAAAAAATTGACAAAACTTAAAAAAAGATATTTTAAAACATCTAATCTTTTTGTTGCGACATCTACCGAGACATAAAGAATTATTTTAGAAAATGCATCTCAATCTAAATAGATGGCGCTGTTCTCATTGGCAAAGCCATAAAATGTTGATACGTTTACTGCTTATAACGCTTATTTTGTATATCTTACACAAATCACAGATCAAAAATACGATACTAGTATATAGTATTTTTTCTGTAATTTTTATTAAATTGTAAAATAAAATTCAGCGATTTTTACAGCACACAATTAAATTAAACATCGATAGATGGCGCGGTGTACACGACATCAACATCTAACAAAGAAATAATCAATCGTTAATGTTGTTCAAGAAACGTTAATAACCTTTATAAATAAAGTAGTTGTAGTTTATAGACATACATTTAATAACATAAAACATGATATGTCAATCATTCGATGTTCAAGTATTAAATTTCATCGCTTTTAATAACAATTATTCTATTTAATGGAACAACGCGAACGAACTGGTAATCTAAGAAATTTTAAATTGCTTTGCCTAATTACGTTAAAAAGTTATAATGTAATTTAATTACTTACCGATATCTACACACTATATTTCCATTTAAACAACTAATCCTAAAAATTAATTAAATATTGTTAATACCTACATTCTAAATAACATCAGGTTACTTATGTTGACTAATTTGTTTGAACTGTAATAACATTGTTTGAATGTTTCTTATTTAAACAACTTTAACTACATTTTTGGTATTAAAACGAGAAAGGAAATATTAATGTAAACATTTCACTGAATACGCAGCTCTTCGCAACAAATATTCATTAACCAAATATAGACCAAAACAAAGTCTGACCTGATGGCCATAATTAAAACAAAATTAGACACACATTAGCGCCACTTTACCAATGTCAAAAAATGTTACAAGATCTTTATCGTATACCTGTCGTATCATGTGTTGTATGTCATTTTCTATACATTAGTAGATTTAAAAAAAATCTGATACTAGACACGAAAATAGTTCCTCTCATTATATCAACTGCGCCTCAATTACATCCAAGTATGACGTGGGAGTCTTCAAGAGTGGAGCGAACGTATGTTCTAAGCTAGCGAGAAACATCTTTTACCTAATCACTTAACATATGCGAGTAGGTTTTTTATATATTATTCTAAGACATCTGCAATTATAGACTTCTAATAGCGTTGCTTACCTTTAATCGATGGTGGAGACGCACGGAAAAATTTTTTTTACCCCGTCTATTTGTCCCCCCTTCTGTCATATCCACATCCCCTACCCACTGGCAATTGAAACCTATTTAACGAAGTAAAGAGTTGCTAGTTTGTTTTCTTCGAATCAAACATTTATTATGCAAATTGGCTTCTATAAATCAGAATAGAAGTTACCTAACGTGGTCTTTTTAAATAATTGACAAGTGAAACCTTCTTTCTATGTTAGTAGTCCAACGTATCCAGTGCAGTACACGGTATTTTTAAATATCAAATTATGCACGAACAAGGTTGGATGCCTTCAATAAATATTTAAAAGTTTGTCCTAGTTTAAGCTCTAGATGGATGTAACAAGACAAGCCTTACTAAGCCTAAATTATCAAACAACTTAAATATGAGTCGTTAGATAGGAGAAGCGTTTCTAAGGTCCGCAAAACTAACGTCCTGATTTTAAAATTGTTCGCTCAAATACTTTTTTTTTATAACGGGCTGTTACCCTCGACTCCGTTCGCGCGGTATTGAAAAAACCTAATTGATAGCCAGATGATTAGAGACTATGTTTTACATCTATGCCAAATTTCAGCGAGATCTATACAACCGTTCTCGAGATACCTTTAAACAAACATCCATCTAAACATAAGCATTTATAATATTATTATGAAGTTTGATGTTTTCAGAAGTCAGTAGTACATCGTTTAGCTTACAGTATTGGAAAGACTTCCGACTTTATTTCCTACTTACCACAGTTATCTTTCTCGTCTTCTATTATCACATAGGGGATTGTTTATAAGAAGCTATTGTGAAATAACACAATACTTATGATATGTTTTCTATTTTAACACTACAAATGCTACTGCCAGCAAAATCGTGATTTGTAACTAATGTGTTTTAGAAAAAGCAATTTAAGGAATACAATATCTTACCAGTATAATAAATGCGGATGTTTGGATGGATGGATGTTTTTTAGAATGTATCTCCAGAATGATTGAATGGATCTCGTTGAAATTTGTCATGTAGAACATTGTCTGGAAAAGCACGTAGACTGCTCTAGACTGCACGTGGATTGATAGGCGGGTGACAGCTTGTACTAAATAAATCAATAAAACCAGAAATGGATTAAATTAACTCGCTGAGCTACCACCAGTGCGTACTCGTTTTATTTTTAATTGACATTTTAATTCATTTGATTCAAATATCGCAATCAAAAAACAAGATCTGTATCAAAAGGGCAATCGAATAATTTTTGTAGTACGCTTCATAGAACATAAAATAATTTTCGGATCGATCCTAATGACCGACTATTGATTTCTACATATGAACTTAGGGATGTGACAAAATAGTTATTACTTTTGTGAAAAATCACACTATATCAAGTTTTAGTTTCTGCCTTATTTGCCAACCCTACTTACAGTTCCTCGTTTTATTTAAAGCCTTGGCGGCAACGATGAATCGAATACATCAAACGCATGCAACAGTTCTAACTCAATTCTCAGACACTCTTTGTTCCGTTGTGGTAAAGGAGCTTTAAAAAGTATTTCTTGTATATTTCTAAAACGAAATAAGAGTATCATTGTATTACAATCGAGAATCATTATTCAACAAATATTTTGAAGCAAACAAAACCTCGGAATGGCGTGCTTCAAAGTTACTAAATATTTGAAAGAAATCGGGAAGGTTAGTATGAGTTATTAGTTATTTGTATAGAAGAAGTAGTAACTTTCTTTCGCTTAGTGATCTCTGCATGACACGAACATACAGAATCTCAGTAAAAGAATGCGTTTTAGTCGACTTCAAAAAGAAGGAGGTTATGAATTCGTCTGTATTTTGTTTCAGAATGTTTTTTTTTGTTTCAGAACTTTTTTTGTTTCAGTATGTTTTTTTATGAAGTCGGCTTTCTTTTTTTCTTATTTTTTTTTTATTTATTTTGTTATTATAAGTTGGCAAACAAGTAAGCGGCTTCGAGAATTCGCCGATATAACAAAGCGACCGCTGTAACGGAAGACCTTGCCATATACACCCGCAATTGCAGATGGGTTGGCCTTCCTTTTATCGACGGAGGAGGGCACAGAAGAAGAATAATTATTCTTCTTCTGCGTCCCCTCCTCCGTCACATCCACTACAGAGACGAGTAACCGTCCGAAAGAGGACTAAAATTAAGCCCCCGGAACGTAGATTTATCAGACAAAACGCTATTTTCTGTGTAGTCGTATGAAACAGATGTTGTTGTTGCTGACATCTACAACGGTTAAAACCGTTTGCGATCTGTGGACGGAGATATGATCAGACTTTGGCTAACGGGACAACCTTTTTTCCTGTTATTTCCCACTGCCACTGCCCGCTTTCAATTAATCACAAGACTAGCAATGACAAGTAATAAATTCTAATTTCTAATTTGTCTTTTTTAAATCCTAGTTGCTTGATATAAAATCAACGGTGAGCCTGCACTGTCATAACGGCAGAATTTTAATAACGCCAACCCTTTCATTCTTAAATTTGAAAAAAATATAGATAAAAATTTCATTCGTTTACAAATGAGCGCCTGCGAAAAAACACGCCTAATATTATATAGCCGCATTTTTTGTTAGTGCGACAAGCATTGCTATTAAAAATGCTTAGATCTTGCAACACAAGAACACTAGCGCCGCTGGTAAACACATCGCAACAAACATTTTTATTTATTATAATAACACGAAATATAACAGAATATGACAAAAGCATAACTTTTTTTTAAGTTAGCACTAAAATGAGCTATTGATTGCGTCTTTCTTATGAGATTTTTCGTTTTCTATTTTATATTTGACAGTGACCGCATAATTTTACTTGCTGGCAATGTTTGAGTTTGACGTAATTTTAGTTCCCCGGGTTCGTCTCATGTTCATAGTGTAAAGTGATATAACTTCTACCGAATTATTTTTTTATTTAGTATTTTATTATTTAATATTACTGACGTAGAATGCTTCTTAAAAACTTGTAATCAGAATATACATAATTTCGTTTACAATTTTAAATATATGCAATTAATTTTAAAATTAAAATTTAGTCTCAACTTGCAAACCAATTTTGATCTTTTGATAAAATAAAAAAACATAAAATTGATGTTTTTGTTTTTTTAATTTTTTCCGTAAAAAATACATCTTATTATTTATTTTTTGGAACATTATATACACATATGAGATTCAAAAGACTTTGTAGTTTATTTTTCATAGAAGCAAGAAAAAAATTACCAAAGAAATGAACATAAAATCATAAAAATACAGGTCAATCAATTTATCATTTTCAACAGATATCTGATACAGAAATATTCTTATTTTAACAAAAAAAAATAAAAACGTAAAATAATATTTTTGTACTTACATCTGTTTGTCTGAGTTCCGTTTAGAAAACGTTATAACATATACACCGTTCAGCACGTTGTCATGTACGTCTATATAGCGTGCGTTTTAAGACAGCGGTTGCTATACCACACCATAGTTACTGGTAGTTTGCCTCAGTCGCTGTTTGCCGTTCGTTCATAAAGTCGTTTACTGGCTCTCAGCTGCATTGCCGCGTGTTGAAAACTCTACTTTCGCACGAATAAACTACTTTTTTGGAGTCAATTGTGACATATAATATATTTAAATTACGCTGTTTTACTCTAAAACCTTGTTCTCATAACGAATGCACGTATAGTTTAAGACGTTCAGTGAAATTTGTAAAAATAAATCTTGTTGAGTTATTATAAGCGGTTTCAAGTTGAACTGTAGTATTTGGCTCCAACACATAATAAATAAGAACTATGCAACATTGTGGATTTTGTTCAATGGTATCCGATTTCCTATGTCGAACTTTATGTGTTGGAAGCAGACGAGGTAGTAGTGACACCTACTACCGCGAGCTTGGGGACCAAGACACATTGGTAAACACATCTGTATATATTTTGTCTGTCAGCATCGGGCTTTGGTACTTTGCATGTGCTGTCCATTCATGTTAATGTTTTATATGTCGTGCAATGTCAGCCCGATACGTTTATGCCCTAACAACTAATTGGTTTATTTACGCTTTTTGCAAATTATTGCACATAGTAGCGTGCTAATCAGCTAGGCATGAATGGACGTCTAATTTAACGCAAATTAAACACTTATTTTTATTTATCTTAATGTTTTCTATTGACAATTTTATTTCTAAATTAAAACTATTTTTGTTTACGTTTTGTTTGCATTGAACAAGTGAAAGTTTGATTTCTCTTCACCTTGTCATTTCAAATTTTCTATTTATACAAACATGTTAGTAGATTTTGCAATGTGTGTGTTGGCATATATTTTTAGTTGTCATTTTTGTAATTATTTATAAACTTTTACAAAATATGTTATTGGACTTTTTATTTAAAACCTAAAATTTGAGTACTGTTAGGATAAAAAGTACATTGTCTTACACCTACTATTACTTTCTAATAAATAAAAAATATTCAACAAACCACCTTATTTATAAATTAATCATATTTTTATAACAAAACAAAAAAATATTTTACAATGGATGAGTATCTTGGAGAGACAATATTTAATTTATAATTATATTAAAAAGTTTTTATGCAATAATAAAATAAATATAATATCATACATTACATATATTCAATTAAAAATAAGTTAAAATTATTAAATGAAATTAGGAAACAAAAAAATACAAAATGCTTAATCAGTATAACACTCATATAAAAATCCATGAAAATGGATGCTATTATGAGATAATTACAATTTAATTATAATCCCAGTTAAAATATAAAAAAATGATATTTAATAAATTAAATTAATTTATAACATTTTAATATAAATCAATAATATTTTATCGGTTAATGATGTAAAAAAGACTCTCGGTATGAGCCTAAGCCAATATTCTATTACTAAATATATTATAAAAGACAATTTTTTTTATTATATTGACTTTTGATAAATATTAAAATATTATGAAATATTATTAAAATAAAAAAAACAATACCTTAAAATAAAGGTTTTAGTAACATCTCTAAACATAGTTACAGCGGAATCTAAAATTATATTTCATGTTTTCTTAAGATGTTTATTAATTCTATTATATATTGCATATAAAAATAAAAATAAATCAAATCATAATTAAATAATTATTAATTTAAATAATTTTTATTTATAAATACTTTTAATAAAAATATTTGGCTTAACATAATTTCACTATTTTGGTTATGTGTAGTATTTTAATGTATTTTATTCACAATTTTTTTTTATTATCTTTTATAATTTTAACCAAATATAAGCTTTTTTTTTATTAAATATAAGAAATTATGTATTTTGTTATAAGCTTTTATGTTTGTATTTAATTTGCATTCTTTAAACTGTTTTTGACTATTAGAGTCTTCATTTTGACTAGATGTAGTCTACAGATTCAAATATACTAAATAGATATTTAATCTGTAATTATACTATCTTAATCAATGACTTCAAAAAATTCAAAGATCTCACAAATATAAAAATTTCATCCCCTTAAAGAAAGTTAAAGGATGAAATGTTACTTATGGTATATGGAACAAATAACTTAAAAATTATTTAATAGGAGAATTTGTTAGAATATTGCTTGTGTAAAATTTATGCCTTCAACTATAATTATATTAAACGCAAAGTATGCCTTTTTAAAAGAAATTTCGCGAACGGTTGGACGTAATAGTTGTCACAGTTAAAGTTATTGTGGAGAAGTACGCAGCTATTAATTAAATCGAAAAAAAAATGTTTATGAATTATGGTTTTCGACCAATGGGCAATCACTAGTTTAAAACAAAGCGTTTGTAATACAAGGATGGACAAAAACAGGGCACTTAATATAGCAAATAGTTCATTTTAATCTTTCTCCATTACACTACTAATCTAATATGAAATGAATCAAAGATAACATTTGTAGCACACGAATTGGCGTTGTTTTTATGTGAAAAAATCGTATACGTATAATTATACTTATGTATCATATTAAATAGTACGCGCTAAGAAAACCACGAGCTCGCATAGTTTACACAAAATACAAACAAGATAACGCACAAACGAGTAACGTAGAAAAAAGAATGGAAACAATGACGTATAAACAAGAGTGTACGATTTGGCAGCACTCACGAGTGTACAGACATACTGGACCTACCTCAATCTACATTGTATATCTTACTCTTACTAATATTATAAATGCGAATGTTTAGACGGGTGGATGGATGTTCGTTTAAATGTATCTACGAAACGGCTCAATGGATTTTTTTAAATTCGTGCAGACGGAGTCGCGGACGACAGCTAGCCTTTGTATAATCAATGTCTCGTAACTCTGAAAAAAAAAAATTAAGTATTAAAAATGGCTATCAATGATGTAGCATTTTTAATGGCACGATATCTGACAACTTTTCAACAATAAGTCCAGTACTAATTGTCTATACGGCTATCATTTTGTCGCCGATGCTATCTGATAAATTGTGTAGGAAAATTAGCTTTTATTGACGCTATGTTTCCAGGGAGGTGGTCAATTATGTCAATTTTCATTATTGATTTGGTATACCTTGAGCATTCTAACCACGTTGTCCAACGAACCAAATTTACGTTGATGACGCTGATACCATTACTTTAACTGTTGTTTTCGACTAGTAACATTTGTATAGATGTCACTGCAGTGGGGGGTGAGAATGCAAAACGTGGTTTATACATAAGTGACCAATAACAAAGCTATGGACGCAGGACTAAAAATAAAAAGACAAAGGCTAGTCGTTTACCCCTTCCCCCTTTTTTACAAGTGATAAGCAAAGGATGAGGAGAGGAATTCGATTCGAGAAGGAAGGATTCTTTTTCTGAATATTTACGACTCAACTATTATTTTTTGCTTTTGCGTAGATGCCTTTTAAACGAGCAATGAACGACCACTCACTGACTCTAGTCCGTAGTTTTTTATTAGTTTACGAGTATCAATATTATTAGCGTATTAGTCAAACTATGAAAAAAGATTCAATTCAGACTACGATCTTAAAGTAATGGAATTATATTTGTTCAAAATAATTTTTAATTATTAAAAACAATTTAATAATTATTATTATTGCGATATTTTTTGTACATTCTTGTTATTGTTCATTATTATCTATAAAAGAGCAAGTTGCGACGCCATGAGACTGGCGAGACATTAAAAATGGATAATAAATCAAGTGAGTAATAAAAACTTGAATAATTAAAGGTAATAATATACGTAATATATTTATATTAACTAACTTGTCTCACAAATAGGTAAACTGTTTAAAGATACTTCCTTATCTCTTTTAAAAAGTTTTTTATATAAAACTGGTGAATGTTAACCTTTTGGTAAAATCTAGCAATATCGTCTTTTTTGCAACTAGAATCTTCCACCAATAAAGGAATAAAAAGCCACGGGATATATTATAAAATAAAATAATCTTTTCACAAAACAAAATAGAAATTCTACACACTCCCCATTTGTTATTTATGATACACTAGCTGTAGCACGCAATTTCGTCCTCGCGGAATTAAAAAAAAAACATCATTCTATATGCCAAATTTTATCGAGATCCGTTCAGCCGTTCCGAAGCTATCTTCAAACAAATCCTTCCATCTATATAAACAATTGCATTTATAATATTAAAAAATCGGTATGTCTACAAATTGTTAACGAAAAGAAAAATCTTCACCCGCATTTAAATAAGCAAAACTAAAAACACAAAAGTATTACGATGTGTGAATAATTGCTGAAATGCATTATTTCCCGATATGCTTGAACGTTGAAACAACAAATTTAGTTATTGAAAACTTGTCAGCCAGTAATTTAAATCACTTCTCTAAAAACAACATAGAAATCTAAACTATTGTGGAGTTTTTAATCTTTACTTTGATTGCCAATTAATGAACTAGATTCTCTTTTTGCTCAAATTGTATTTAGCTTTAGAATTTTTTGTTAAATGTTAAAAAATATATAAGTTTAGAATTTATGGTATAAAATAATATATTAATAAGTAATTTGACATTGAATACATTATTTATTTACTTGTTGGATATGTATATAGGTACAAATCGTGTAAAAAAATCATATTACTAAATATCAGAATTGTCTTGGTAAAGTCACGTATAACTCGTTTTATACAAAAAGTTTAGAGATATATATTCATAAAGAAAAATAATCTAAAAAGTCAAAACAGCAAAGTGCAAAAAATTTTAGGTTTGGACTTTTTTGGACAAATACTCACAGTCGTCATCAAAACACAAAAATAAATTATTAAGAAATTAAGATTGTTCTAAATAAAAACATCATGTTTTAAATTCCATTTAAAATATAACGTTGGAATTATTGTAATAATTTTTTTCTAAATAAAAATAATTAATTCTTTGCTGATTTCACTGCACAAAAAATACATGTCGAAACTGTACAAAATTATATTTGGTTTTTGTAAACCACTGAACGCGCTTTTATTTGTTTTAACCCTCATCACATTTGGATTGTAAAACTTCGAAGGCTAAAGCGATTGCTACTTACCCCATTTTACCTAAAATGTACAGTAAATTCTACAATTTACAGTTGGTTTCTGAGACCAAAAGCTCCATATAAAACATATTGTCATCTGTGTCATTATTTTTGACAAAAAAGATATAACTATATGTTTCAGACGGGGATTTTGGTCTCAGAAACCTACAGTTAATATGACAATTGTACATTGCTTTTGCTGTTGAATGAGTAGGTCAGCGAACGGGAAAGCCCGTGACCTTATTGAATACCAATGTCACGCAAGGGTATTTGTATGTAAATTTTTGTTTAATTTTATATGAATTTACCTAAGTTAGATTAGTATCTTTTTATAGAAGATAACGATTAAATGGCTCCCGTAATGTTGCTCGTAGTTTATCAATAATATATAAACAGGGCGCTGATCTGTTGTTTAATTTAAAAAATGGGAGACAATTGATATTAAAACATCTAATAACATGGAATTAAGCCTTTACGCTTGTCTTCTGCGATGTCAGCCAGACATATATTCGTGCAATATATTTCTCATTCTTATTTTAGGTTAGTACATATTTTATTCCGATAATATAGTCGACCGTTCTATCCAATCACTTAATAATTATCAAATTCTTGACTATTGCGGATGTTTGTAGTTGTTTGTTAGATCATGTATTAAGTGACCCGCTTGCTTTTCGAGACGTCGACGTAGGATTCGCTTTCTATTTTCTTTGTAAATTGGACACATATTTTATCAACATAAAGTATCTATGCTGTCATAAATATCCACACATATAACATTTACCTTCTTTTTTAAACCCTTAGAGGTTAAATTTGAATGAAAATCTTAATTTATTTGTGCTGAAAAGCGTTTAGACCTTTGGACCGTTATACAATACTAGCTGTCGACCGCCACTCCGTCCACGCAGAATTAAAAAAACCTTGATTAGTACCCTATGTTTTCTTATAGACTATACTCTGTTTATACCAAATTTCAGCAAGATCTGACTAGGAGATACGTAATACGATCATCAATCCATCTAAACTTACGCATTTATTATATTAGTAAGATATATTTTGTAAACCATGTGCTATCACAAGCCTGAGGCTTACTAGAAGTTGTAACGTAGTAAATATAATAATAAAAAAAAAACTATTATTGTACATTGCGTATATTAATGATATACGTTATCTATCTTGTGAACGCCTCATTCAAGTGAAGTGTTCGTAATGAAATTAGTTTGTAGACAAACGTGGGCGTTGCGAGACGGTCCGATGGTAACGCCGCGCCAACCGCGAATTTGTTTTGCTATATTTCGATGTCCGATAACAGCGGTCGCTTCCCAATAATTGCAGTTCTCAAGTTACAACATTTGGCACGGGATCAATCGTTCTATATTTTGATGTTAATTTATTACATGTGTAATGTAGATTTTGAATATTTTTAATATAAGCCGATAAGTTAGATCATATGTTCAGTTAAATAAGATTTAATTATAAATTAATTACCTTATTTATAAATAATCTATTAGAAACTGAGGTAAAACATAGTCAGTGGCACGCAATTGATTAGTCGTACTTTGCACACTTGAGTTTAAAAGCAATCATATTAGTTATTCACGAGATTCCGGAGCTCGGCGGTTAACTTTGTGGACAGTGGATGCATTCGGCGCATATGAAACCGGTTTATTTGCAAATGGCCAAATACGATTCATTATTAACACGACGAAAGAATTAATTGTCCATAAATATTATAGATTCTTCTGGAATGTAAGTACTGTATTAATTCATCATATTATACTATCAGGTCCAAGTTTGATTCCTAGCACACATATTTGTTTGTATCATAATTATATTCATATCTTATTAATATTATAAATGCGAATGTTTGGACGCTTGGTATTGCGCACCGTCAGAACGGCTCGGCGGACGTCGCTGAAATTCTATATAGATGTAGATCATAGTCTGGAAAAACACATGATTTACTAATTTAGCATTTTCTTAATTCTGTCCGGACTTATTCGCGGGCAAAACCTAGTATAATACCAATATAAAAACACTAAATGTTCACGTGGGGTAGGCATCATTCGCATATTAATTCGATAATACCGCAAATGTTTAATAAATCGTATTTAAATCTAGCACAGATAGAACACAGTCTTGAGTAATATATGAGATACTTTTCGTCCTTTATTTTAGGCGAAATCTCGAGCTAAAAACAGCACGATTGAGACAAGATCGTCTTACGGATTTTTAGTTTGTTAAAAACGATACAGTCCTTATAATCATCATTGTTTCGTAAGCGCACTGTTTAAAAGGAGAGGGGAGAGACATTGTATAGTCGCGGGTCGGCGGCGGTCCGTCTCTAGCTCACTTAAGACTCAATAAATCCACGGGACCGCGTTATGAACGATTACCGTATCAATAAATTAGATGAGCATTTTGTGACAGAGAATCAAAAATACGGGTCGCATTTTGTAAGTGTTTAATTGCTTTTTTTTGGAGGACTTATATTCGTCAACTCAAAATTTTAGCAATATTAGATGGCCGCTTACTCGTGTACCACCTTTTACTATAAAAAAAATTTTACACGTGACTTTAGTTCGCACTGATTTTAGGAGTATTGTGCCAAAATATCGGACCAAGGCTATCATCTCAAAGCCCAATTACAAGTCGTAACTATTGAGTCGATTACGACTTTTAAAGCTTTGATAATCGTTTCGATTTTGACTGATGCTAATTTTGACGTTATTGCCGACGACCAATATGCTAATCTTAATTTTATGGCATTGTATGCTTAACCATTTCATTTACAATATGAAGTGAAAAGGCCAGACTTACGTCATATCTACGTAGAATTTTATCAAAATTCATCTTCCAACAGTCTCGAGTAGGGAATGAAAATTTATGTGGAAAAATTCTATACTTTCCACAGAATTACTTTAAAGTTGATACAGATGTTTTGAGAATTCATTTTCAACGCGGACGAATTCGGGCGCTATCTAGTATTCTGTAAATCGCAACGTTTTTTTCAAGCTAATACATAATATTCGTTGACAATTCCTGTTACAAGATTAATATGAACTCGCGATTCCTTCCGGGACTGAATACATAATAAATGCTAACATAACGGAATGCGCGAACAGATTGAAAGTGTGGATATTTTAAATAAAAATGCATTGGGGTGGTGGGGCTATTGACATTTGTAAAAAGCTTTAAATGTCGTTTACACTTGTATCTATTTCGTTCCTTCTTTCTATTTTTCCTTGTGGAAATTAATGTTTGAAGAACGTTGAAGATGTAGTGGTACAATGAACATATTCATTGGCTTATTAGAATTTGATAATAACGACGGTGTATTCTACATTTTTTTTATGAACTAAACTTAAAAAGTATGCACGTGTTCTACATTGAATCCGGTTATTTTTGTCAACCCCGGTTGCTTATGTCCGTATTTTTAAAACATTGTTATTTGTTAATATTGTACACTTATTAATAATTGTAGTGTATGTTGTCCTAGAAAGACTTCAGACAATGCTAATTAGTAGATGTCCCGATGTTTTTATTTAAATTATAAGGTGAAAAATGAGCAAGCGGCGAACTGAATTCGCCGAAATTGCGGAGGCACCGTTGCCCATAGATATCTGCAATTGCGTTTACGTTGATTACCTTTAATCCACGGAGAAGAGAGGCGCAGAAAGATAATATTTCCCCTCCCCAGTGCCCTTGCCATCATTTTATTATAAAAATAGGGTAGGAAGGGAAATACTACCACAATTAGGTCTCCGGATGTGGAAATAGAAAGCGAGATGTGCCAGGAGCGCGCCAAATGAATGTCCAAGCTCGCTTCCCATCGCTATGGGTTACGGGCTTGAGATGATATCTTGCTACTGATAATATTTTCAACAAAATGTACAAAAGGTGTGTAAATGAAGGTTTAAACTATTTTTTTTTGTTGCAGAGAATCGATGATAACAAGTCCTCTACCTCGTCCTCCTTTTCTAACGATGTTGAAGAAATAAGTAAGTATTCTTTATTTTTACTTAACATTCTTGTAAATGCGTTGAGATCGTTAGAAAAAAGCTCAGATTAAATATCTATAAATAAATCATGGCAGAAGAAATAGGTTTATCTTTAAATAAGAAAAACTTGTGCTTTGAACTAAACACGGTTTTTATTACTGAAATTTTACATTACTTTCGTATGGCCTCGAAATATGTATAACATAATAAAAATTGGAGGGTATGTAACATCTCACAAAAAAGTCATGTTTCGTACACATGACGTTTTAACGTTGTTGATAGCGAAAAACCTACCTCATTTGTTTCCGGTAAGCTCCGGAACGTGTGGACCGATTTTGACAGGACTTTGACGTGAAGATAGCTGAAGCACGAGTGAATATTAAAGGCTATTTTTTATTTCTCCGCTGACGAAAACGCGACGGCTAGTTTTATATAAGAATGAGAGAATATTTTTGTATGGTATGAAAACGAATTTTTCTTTGTCTCAGTTTTCTCAAAGAGAACAAAAAGGATGGCAATATGTTTTTATAAGTATACTGCATTGGAGTTCTAAGTAAGCTTTTTTGTGTCGCACAAACAGTAAAATTATAAGCAAAGTAATAGAAATGTTTATTAACACATACATTTCAATTTCATTCATTAGTTATTAATATGTAGCAAGTCAAAGAGCTGAAGAACATGCTTTTATTTTATTTATTAAGAAATTATTAATGTAATGAAAATGTGTATTAAATAACGAGTCGGTAACTTTTGTTGCTTCACTTTGTCCCACAGGATTAAGAATATTGTATTAGATTTTTTAATTACGAATATTATAATTATAGTAACAGAAATAATAAAATGAAAGTATGCTAGAAAACATAGTTTTTCGTTTTTTCTCCGGCGCACGTAAGCTCCCCCCCCCACCCACTCTTGATTGGTCGCCGTCTTGACCGGCCTAGCTGGGCATCGAACACCGTTCCCATACTCTGACTGTAAAACACACCCCCGACTACAGAACCAATGTGTATATTTTGTATGCATCGACTTTTACACCATATATACGTATAGTTGCTACGGTCGCATAGGGCTTGCTTCCCGATACCGTGATGAACGCTTTGCCCGAACAGTTCTACTCAGGCAGCCAACGGGTTCGGTCGTGCTACCCTGGCTTCACTACTATTCACTAGAAATCGGAATCCTGTAAATTTTCTTTAAGTCATAATTGGCTTTAAAAAAAATTTAAATTTAAAAAAAAAAATTTCGAAATAAAAAAAAAGTTTTTTAATTTCCAAAATGTTATCCAAGCTGTCGCAGAAGGGTAAGTAGTAACAGTGTAACAAAAAATACGGAGTTTTTTTAGTTTCTTACGAAATAAAACGGGGATTCGAATCTGAGACACTAGAAAAGCGATTAAAGTTTCTGCGGTTTATTCTCTTGAGTTTACATTTTACCTGTAAGCATTATTTAAGAGAATATGTAGTAAATAATAAAATGCTTACCTATTTTATGCAATAAATATTTTTTAAAGTTACACCCTCGTAAGTGGGTCACAGGATGTTAGTGTTCAAAGCCTCCCGGCCGGGCAACTGTTGCGTTGAAACAAGTGCTTTACAGTCACTGGTTGAGCATATAAAACTGTTCTGCATACTGTGCATCGAAATTTAATTAACATCATTTGAATACACGTTCATATAAAAGGATTTTTCGAGTCTCGTTATTTTATCGGTGGCAAAAATGAATTTTAAAAGATCAATTTACATTTAAAAAATTCCACAAATTATGACAGCTTGGCAGCCTTTTGTTATTATTTCTTTTCTTCATTCACTGATTTTATTTTCTCTTATTTGTAAAGCCAACTAATATAAGATTAATCTTCATCTGTAGATGTACTTTTTTGTTTGTTCATTTATATGTCCCAAATGGATATGTCTAGTTTTATTATAGTAGAACGAGTGAACATTGCCCACAGCAAATATTCTATTTATTGGCAACTATTCAATTAATAAGATTTTTAAAATTAATTAACATTTATTTTTTAGTTGCAGCGATTCGTTATTTAAAAATTATCAAAGTAAACTTTTGTGCGCTAACGATAGGTTCCGAGTTTTTTTCGGATGTACAATTTGTAAGCAATTTTAAATTTTTTTATAAAATAATTACACTTATTCTACTTTTAAATTTTATTTGGCGTTATTGGCCACAACAAAGAACTGAGGTCTTTGTTTAAGCGGTCTGGTATCACCGGGGAAATAGCAATATAATAGTGTAAATAACGAATTAGAAACGAAAAATGAATTTCTAGCGTTGAATGAAGTGACCGGAAATTTAGATCCCCAGATACATAAAGGAAGACAAACTGTTCTATATTTGTACTAGTTTTTGGCGTTGTTTTTGTATACCTGTCGTTAGTTAACCGCATGTTTGAACTGACAATACGCCCTTAAAAGAATTTATCTAAACTTTGTTATTTGGAATGAGAGGGAGAGAAAGTTTAACTGTTTTTTTTTAAGATTTTCAATGACAATAAAAATAAAATATTATAAATGCGAAAGTTTGGATGAATTTTTCGTAGAAGGTATCTCCGAAACGGACGGACTGATCTTGATGAAATTTGACACAAATGTAAAACATATCCTAAAAGAATAGAGGCTACTACTTAAGTTTTTGATCACTACTAAAAGTTGTATTTTTTTATAAATTTTCGAAATTTGAAAAAACATATTATTATTTATTATTTACATTTTTTTAATTATAGACATCTTTGCCAGTTATCGCAATTATTAATTGTGTTATTATACATTTCAGTAAATTATAGGTACTAGGAAATTACTGTTTAAATTATAATTTAATTGTACGCAAGTATTTACAGTATGCACATATTTGTAACAGCCGATTGAACAGAACATTGAACTGAGCCTATGAAATAGCCCATAGTTCTGAAATTAAATACATCGAATCGAGTATAGCTAAAATTATTTTTCATTCACTCCGACGCCGTTGATTACTGATTATCTTATAAATATTTATGCGCTATTCGTTTTATGTTCTTTATCGTACTTTAACTACGTATTTTGCAATTGTGTATGATTTATAATTTTTTTATTTGTTACGGCTTTAATAACTCAAATCATTATTTTTAAACAAGAATATTTGTGCCAAAAAGTAATAATACAGGGTGTAGAAATTTAAAAAAATTAAGTAACTGTTTTTGGTACTAAGACATATTTAAACTGATATAAAAACGGCTAAACACTCACGTATATTCGTCCGGTGGCGGCACCGACTAGTGAAGGGTCCCTGATGGGCTCGAAACTAGTCGGTGCCGCCACCGGACGAATATACGTGAGTGTTTAGCCGTTTTTATATCAATTTAGTATAATGTCTCACGAAAGTTTGAATAATTTAATAACACATATTTTTCTGTTTTCTTATGTAGGAATTGATTTTCTTATATTATTCTTATTCTTTCTTTTATTATATAATAACTGCTAGTTGAGTGAAATATATCAATTTAAACGCGATGTATCGTTCATAGCGGTCATTACACAGACTTGAGTGCATGAGGGCAATCATGATCGAATTATTCTAACCCTATCCCAACTCTCAGAGATATTCCGACGTTAGGTTACGTATATTATATGAAAATCGTATATAATATACTTATATGAAAATCGAAACTTATTTTATTGCGCTTTATCAACTAATCCTTATAAATGTGAATGTATGAATGGATAGATGGATGATTGTTTGTTTGATAGTGTCGTCAGAACGTCTACATGGATCTCGATGAAATTTGGCATGGATGTAGAACATAGTCTGAAAAAACATGTAGACTACTAATTACCTTTGCTTTTAATTCTGCGCCAACGGCAGTCGCGGGCGACATCTATTGCTGGTATATGCAGATATACACACACTGCCGTACTCAGACTGCTTGATTGGTCACTAAGGGATGTACTACTGTAAAGCATAGACATTAATCTTCTAATTTAGAAGAGTTAGTAGAAAAAAAAATATTTTAATACTTTTACTTTGATTGTGAACTTCGACGTCATTCATGTACCTGCGTCATAATTTAATTTCTAAATTCTCAGAAGTAAAGGTTAAGTTTAAGTCGACTGACATTCCTGTCATCGTTTTTGAAGTACAACGATATTCCATATAAAATTAAACGTAATTGTAATTTAAAATATCAAAGTCAGATTGTGAAGTTAATTGAGCTAGAGGAAGGGGGGGAACGTTAAGAATTCATAATCAATCTCTAGACTATGCTATTTTAGAAATTACATTTAAACAATTAATATAAAGAATATATATATATATATATACTTTTTAAGTTAGTATTGAATTAAAATTATAATATTTTATTATAAAATTACAAAAATAATATACTTGCAGACAAAAATACATTCTCATTATGCAAAAATTCAAATATCTCTGAAAATAGTAGCTTGATAAATAAAAAAAAACAAAATGTTTTATTATTATGATATAAAACTAAATGCAATTGTTTAATTAAAACCGGTTAAGTAATATTTATTTTATTCTGTTTCTTATATTACTGAATTATTTCGTTGATTGTTACTGTTTATTGTAGTTTTGTTTTTGTTCTAGTATTATTTATATATTATTTGAAAATGTACAAAAAATGTTACTGTTAAATCATGAACGCTGCCTGTTTCTAAATTACCTAGACAAGTTGCAAAGATTTCATTAATATAATGACGTACTAATTGTCGATACGTTATAATGTCTTCGAAACGCGACGTGACAGCGTTGTCACTACGCGCCATCATTCTGCATCTTGCTGCGCATGCGTCGCTAAAAAGCGATGCGAATTTAACAAGAAACAGACATTTGAATTTTGGCCTATAACTTTATGTGGCCCGTTGACACAGCACTGTTATTGTGTTCTGTCAGAAAACATATAAAACCTAGAAAAAAATGACAAGCGAACGTCATTCCTTTTAGAACAAGTTTTATACATACAGGCGGGGCGCGCATATACTTTATTTTAA